TCACGTTGATACGATACAAAAAATAGTTTCAGTAACAACCGGGTTAATCGGCTCTCAGTGAATTTGACAGAATCAGCTGTTTTGCTAACGTCACAGTCGAGTTGACAGCAGTAGTGATGTGCTGAGTTAATACTTTTAAGTATTGATCGATATTCGGTACCAACTTAAAAAGTATCCAATGGTCTCGATACTCGGTACCGAAACATTTAAGTTTGGAATAAAAGCGCACATAGGCCAAAAATATGAAGAAGCGGTTCAGGGGAAACTCGCCTATCAAAACCCGAATGAAGGAGCTTTTAATACTGATCCAAACAAAAGATGTCGGTTCGAGGCCATAATATAGAGAAACTCTTACTTGTTTGAAGCATTTTTGTTCCAACTCAATCGGACGATATAATTTGTGTAGGCCTGGGGCAGATTCTGTAACTAGTTAGCGACAATTTTAGAATCGGTATCGGTTTTGTTGATATATGATATGAAATATTTTTACGTCAACAAGTGCGATATCGATTCGAATTGTCGAAACTGGTTACAGAATCTCCACCCTGAAAGGCTTCTTCATCCGTCAAAGCATTTTTCTTGAACCTTGGATCGACTAAGGTTAAAACTGATGAAAAAATATTTTTCTGTTGCGATAATTTCAAGTATTTTAGCCGATATTATATAAATTACTAATGAAAGTTTTAATGTAAATAATCGGTATCCGGTGCCGAAACGGAGGTATTGGGTACCGAAATCTTTTTTAAGTATTGGGTACCGACAATTCAGCACATCACTATTTGCCGCTCTCAGCTGTCAACTCTACTATGACGTCACGCCCAAATTACTCTCACGAATTCTGCTGCAATCGGCGCAATCTTGTATTCTATCATTCTTGTGTTTCACCCATATACGAATAGCGGTAGCGGAGCTATACCCACAAGACATCTGCCGGTCTGACCAGTTCTTTTGCGTGCATGTGATCTTGCATCCCTTTTCATCATATGGCCTCGATTGATGTCAACTTAAGGTCTCTGTTTTACTGCCTTGAAATTTTTACAGCTTTTTTTATGTGTATTGGTTTTTGTTTGAGTGTATTGAGAATCGGTCAGTCTAAAATGTCATTTTCTTGTAGGGATGATTTCCACGCACACAGTCTTATTCAAAAAATTCAAACAAATTCTAAAAAATCTGAATAAAAAGCAGAAAATCTCGCTGAAACTCTCGCAGATGTTTTATAATGTTTGCACAATGTTTGAAATATGGATTTATAATTTGTTTGTTATATAATGAGTTAGGCTCTATGGGAAAATAATAAACATTAAATAAACAAAAGAGAAACAGCCAAAATCGATCAAAATATTAAAAACTAATCAGCTGATCACAAGGGTATGTATAAAATGATTTTTATATTAACGATCTCAAACCAGTTCAGAATGAATTTTAAATGTGCTCTGTCGAAATTACTCTTTAATATACCTTACGTACATATGTACCTTTGTATACAATAAAAGTGTATTTGTGCAAACATTTGAAAAAAACGTTTTTGGGTAGGAAACGACGTTTTTTCAGACCAAGAGGGGCGTTTTCTCACGCCGAAGACCTTGCAACACTGCTCACAAGCATGAATATGTTCCGCTCTCAAACCAAATCGTGGTTGCCTCAACTAAGATTTGGTAACAATCAAGAATGATAGAATACAAGATTGCGCCAATGAGAGAGGATTTTTGAGCGTAATTTTTGCGTGACGTCATTTTGGTGCCATTGCGAAAGAGAAATGCCAAAACGCATATAAAAATATGTAAACAATGCAGAAAAATATGTTAATATACAAAGATTGATTAATTAGGAATACGTAGCAATAATTTTGGACATGTAGCCCTTTAGATAAGTACGATTTTTAGCACATGAAAAAATGGATGTATTAACAGTGTTTGCAATTTCATGTATACCAAAAGGAAGCTGCGCAGCAAAGTAAATTTTTGGACTCGCCATTGTAAAAAGCCACGCAGAGTGCATATTTATATTTGTGGACGGTAGCCAACCACCATAAACTCCACAGCTATTGACTCCACAGCTTTTATTCAATGACTTTTTTACCATTTCCGAGAGGATGTATGAGTGTGGCTTCTTTGGAAACAAATATTCTATGTAAGTAAAACATAACTTAAGCTGAACTTTTAAATGTATAAAAATTTGGGCACTGTTTTGTATTAGGTTCGTAACAGCGCGGTAAGATGCCGCTTGAATTAGCGCCTGGCGACCTTATCCACTAGAGCATTACCTCATACCAGCACTAAAAAGAATCAGGTCCTAACAAAAATAAGTAGGCAGTGAAGTTCATGTATCTATCACTCCTCCAAGCGCTTTTGCATCTGCTCTACCTCGTAAACGTGTTTTTATAATTATAAGCTTTTATTTAACTTGGTCATCCCGCGCAAATCGTGGAAATTTCCA